CCATGCAGTGATTCTCCAAGCCATCCAAATTGGGCACTACTTCGTTTGTTTTTTCGGGCAGCTAGCGAGGAATTAAGGTAAAAAATATACACTCGCCTAGAGTGGCTTCCCTTTGGACTGGGAATGAGGCCTCGTTTAGATGAAAACAACAACATTTTAATACTGGAAAGAGTGACTGCGAAAATACTACCTTGACTCACATTTCCTGATCATATAATTCATACTCTAACTATACATTTAATGTCTTCTAAAAATTGTGTTATGGAAGCTGGCATCCGACCAGACAGGCTCATATTGTGGAGACCTTAAAGGATGCCATATTTCCACTTGGTGTCATAAGCCTCCTCCACATCAAATATGATAGATACTACGTGTAGTATTTTAACAAAACCATTTCGTACAAATAATTCTAGTCTAAAGAGATGGTGCTCCTCTGGCGCCTGAATCTTTTTTCAGAACATGATTTGTTGTAGTCCTCGGAATTATCTGGGGGCGGTGGGGTAGCCTAGTGGTTAAAGCGTTGGCTCGACACGTCGAAGACCCGGGTTCGAATCCCCACATCGGTACAATGTGTGAAGCCCATTTCTGGTGTCCCCCGCTGTGATGTTGCTGGAATATTGCTAAATGCGGCGTAAAACCAAACTCAGTCAGTCGGAATTATCTGCTGTAAAATTACGAGGTTTCTTTTTAAATTATGTTTTTGTTTAACCTGAGGATCATAGTTTGCAGACACTGATTTGGCGCTTATCGTTTCTGCTTATAGCGATACCTACATTGTATTTTAGATGTTATGGTTTTATCATTTGATTTTAGATGATGTACATTGTTTGTAGATCCCTTACCCTTCAGTTTCCTTATCATGTTCCATACCTTATTAATGGGAGTGCGATTATTCAGTTTGGAGACAAAAGTTTTCCAACTGGTTCTCCAACTGGGATAATCACTGCATCCAATACAATATCCATCCAGAATATAGGCCGTAGGCCGAACCCAAACATTGTGTCAAAGTGCTTCAACATATCTGGTGAATACACAGTTAGGGTTTTATAATTAAGTTTATTATTTATAAAGCCTATTAAAATCATTTCTTGTTAAATCACTTGGACAATAATTAATTAGAAGCCTTAGACTGGAAAAATCTAAAGCGGTGAATAACCGTGGTGGCAACGTATTATTATTATGAGAGACGATCGAGTGAGCTTTTAGTTTTACGCCGCTTTTAGCAATATTACAGCAATATCACGACAGGGGACACCAAAAATGGGCTTCACACATTGTACCCATGTGGGGAATTGAACCCGGGTCTGCGGCATGACGAGCGAACGCTTTAACCATTAGACTACCCACCGCCCCCATGAGAGACGAAGATCAACTGTCAATGGTGAATAAGAAATAATAAGCGCCTTCATATTTGTTTTCTGTGAACTTAACTTTATTCTCTCGGCCCAAGTGCACTTGGGTCCTACCGTCATCACTATTAGAATGTGATTCAGAGACACATACTTAATATGATATAGTCGACGTCTTACAATGGATTCTGATTTCTAACTGTGGGTCAGAACATGTTTACCCTTTTTCTTTCATATTTGGTCTTTTACGCCCAAAAATTCTGTTTCAGCGGTGGACCGAGACTGAGTTCTTCCCCGACGTTTATTAATATAGAAACCGTGAGGCGCGGGTTAGAATATTGATCTTCAGTAACACATGCTTGTCGTGAAAGGCGACTAACGGGATCGGTTGACACATATCATCGGTTCCCAATTGCGCAGATCGATGCTCATGCTGTTGATCACTGGAGTGTCTGGTCCAGACTCGATTATTTACAGACCGCCGCCATATAGCTGGATTATTGCTGAGTGCGGCGTAAAACTAAACTCACTATTAATATAGTGATAAAGAAAACTTCTGTCTTAGTCTATTCATTTGGATAAGTACCGAGTAAACTTTTTGAAAGGCATTTAGAAGTTAGATGAACATGAATACATGACACGTTTTATGGATAACAACTTTATTTGTATTCTTAACACGACGTTTCAGAGCTAATTCCTGCTCCTTCATTCACCTGATGAAGGAGTAAGAATTAGCCCTGAAACGTCGTGTAAAGAATACAAAAAAAGTTGTTATCCATAAAACGTGTCATGTATTCAAGTACCGAATAGACATGAAGAATTGGAACGCACTCAGCTTTCATTCATTTTCACTGCATCAATGTAGCTTGGGGACACTCAAGTTGAGCACTATCCAACATTAACTATCCAAACTTACGATTGACCGCTACCAGTTGGTTTACCCTTTTCATTAACATCTAGACTAAGTGTTGTTTGCAGGTGCTTGAGACTGGTACCACTGATGGGTAAAACACATGTAAACTTCGCGAACAAATAATCTTTTAGTAGCATTATTTGAGAGTGATTCATAAATTAATTATCATGATCCCGTCTGAATCACACAATCGACACGCCTTTAAGCAGACATTTCTGATTATGAAATGAATCTTGTTGCTTCTATTTATTTATTGGTATTCCAATGCAGCACGTATGATTTGTCTTCAGAACACCATATCTGATTTCATATTCCTCTGGGGCGACATATATGCTTACACATATTTTCAGCGTCAGCTTCATTATCTGTTATGTCTACTGCCCTTAAAACAACGAAATGGTTGTCATTTCGCGTACTTGAACCGTACATACCTATGTCGCAAGCCACAACAGGGACAGAAGAAACACATTTGCTAAACTTGGCTAGATACTTCGATTTACACTGTGTAAACATTGCCAAAAGTTTGTACCGATAAGAAATATTGCAATAAAAGTATTAATTATGGTGTTCACAGAAATTATTGAGAATTTTTTTTTCGGCAATTATCTAATACATGTATATTAACTATATAGGCCTTAGGACTAACCCCAAAATTGTGTCAAAGTGCTTCAACATATCTGGTGAATACACAGTTAGGGTTTTATAATTAAGTTTATTATTTATAAAGCCTATTAAAACATTTCTTGTTAAATCACTTGGACAATAATTAATTAGAAGCCTTAGACTGGAAAAATCTAAAGCAGTGAATAACCATGGTGGCAATGTATTATTGACCAATCAGAATATATGAGGAGCTATTTGTGCAGTAATAATGTTTCATGTCAGATATCAGAACTGTCTGATCAGATTGACTGTACTGATGCATTCAAATCATCAGAATCATGTGTATTAATGAGTCATATTTTCCATTCTGTACATATTTCAACTGTGTGAATTATGTTTCCTGTCAGATATCAGAACTGTCTGATCAGTTTGACTGTACTGATGCATTCAAATCATCAGACTTGTGTGTATCAATGAGTCATATTTTCCATTCTGTACATATTTCAAATTTGATAGTTTCATGTGATATGTACATGAAATTTATTTGCATCGTTTATATCAATTACATTTAAGTAATTAATTAAATCAATTGCATAGATGAATGTAATGTTTGATACAGTTTATGTCAGTGATTTAAATGTTTCTTGGACAAAACAATTTTACATTTTTGATTTTCATGATTGGTTGTGTAAATTATCTTCACCCTGAAAAAAGTTTAATTGGGAAAATTTTAATTCAAGAAATTGGAATTTTAACAAATATGGGCTAATTATAAAATCATGAAAACAAAGCCAATGTTTCTAGAACATTACTATTGCACAAGTACCATAAAAGGCTGTTACCAACAGGCCAAGGTCAAGGCCGTGTAATGAGAATCCGGTCAGGGGGTAGCCTTCTTTCAGGAGCTGTGAAACTATTTTTGCAAGAAAAGTTTTGATTCTTCACAAGCACATCCTGGGGATCATTTTGATACATACACATGTAGTTCTTGTATTCACCAAGTATGTTGAAGCACTCTCCTATTTCTAGAGGCCGTACAGATTTCGGCCCACGACCTTATATGGATATGGTACATTTAGCGAAATATGTATTTTCTCTGAACATTTTTATTTTACACACTGATATTAGACCACGAAATTTCATAAACGAACTTACGAAACGAACGAAAGTAACCAATTAATTTTCCCCATCCCCTACACACACGCGCGCGCGCGCGCGCACGCACACACGCGCACACTCCTAGGAGGGGAAGAAGGAAACTCTGATGCAACAGTTTTTAAAGGATTGGACACATGTCAAACACCATATATGGTAAATTCCGCGAAGGGAACTGACTGAAGGGTCCTGCAATCCTCTCTCAACAACAGCGTTCCAGATTCTTACATCTGCACATTGATCGTTTCACACAACACTGAGTAAAATGAATTGCGTTCTCTACTACTTTGTGGTCCGTAAATGAAATAGCAATAATCTGTACATAATAATCATTCGAAACCGGTAGTGAAAACGAGTCCCTTGTGTCCTCAATGTCCTTGGTTGTGCAAAGGTTGAACAGTATTTCTCCCGAAAAAAGTAGGTGCTTGTGTTGTAGGTCAGTGTTATACGTAGTTCAACACTATTTCACCTGTTACACATTGTACCTGTAGAGTATGTGAGGGTCAGTGGTGAGCTATGTTAGATTGTACTATATATAGCTAGAGGGCTTGAATGTACTAGAACCCTCTAGTACAGGGAATATCATGGAAAGATCTACCTCGGCGTATAATGTTTCTAGGGACATATTTGCCTGTGTATATAAAATTGGAGATAGCTCTGGCGTGTCATCTCACTTGAAGACAAAATGTGATAATCATATCCTTGATACTGTCTGTTCAACCGTTTCTTCCCTTGGATTACTGTATAATACTGAATATCACCACCGTTGTCTTTATTGCTATAAATCCTGCTCATTTATTACACTGATCAATAAGGTATTCCAATGATATACCATTGTCCATGTTGAAGGCTCTAGATGATTTCCTTTGTGCAGCATTTAATTCATTGACCCACTGAAATTTGCGCTCATATGTGCTGGTGCTATATATATTGATCTGTGGACAAACAACACAACAGCTGGCTTCCCCCGAAGAGTTCAATACACCAATGAAATGAGAAACTGGAGGGAGAACATGTCTTCTTCCCTATGGTTTGGTTGTTTCATTGTTGTTGTCATTCTAAGCAATGTTCTTGCTGTATATCGGCAACCTGCCAACAGTCGAGTCTGGAACAGTCAAGCCAACAACGTCAAGGTACAGTAACACGAGATGAAGGAAGTAGCTGAGCCAGATTATTTCCATATCTAGTCAGTCGTCTCGTGGGACGGATATAGGTGACGTTGTACCTTGAATCCCTGCGGAGGACCTGTAACTGTGAAAAGGTGAGAATATGTTCGTAGTACTAATTTTTCAAAACCTAGCAGGTATATTCTAGTTGTTTGGCCTTCAGACAATCAAACACATGTCCTGTAATCATCCACATTTAATCGCAGTTATTCAATTATTACATATTCTTACTAAATGCCAGTGTAACATCGTCTTCCGTGGGTTAACAAGCCACGTTGGAATTATTGGTAACCAAATGGCTGATGCTGACGCAAAGGCGGCGCTCACCAAATCTGGGACACTACGTCTTATCCCACCTGTAATCATAAACCTGTAAGTAGATGCTACATCAGAGATCTAATGCAAAAGAAGTGAGACACCCAAGAAGGTATCAATAAATTCCATGACATTAAACCAACCATCGGTTACACCTACTTGGTTGTCTGTCCAGGTCTGAGGAGGTCATCCTAAGACGATGCCGTATTGGCCATTCTCGTTATACGCATGAATATTTATTGAAAGGCGAAGATCCTCTGTTTTGTATCCCCTGTGATGAAAGAATAACAGCCAAGCATGTCCTGCTTGATTGTGTGGATTTTTCCATCAAAAGGGGTAATTATGTCAAAGTTTCAACCACGAAGGATCTTCTTAGCATAAATTCTCGTTTAATTATAGTTCTTGTTTTTTTAAAAGAAACTGAGTTGCTGCCAAAATTTATATCAATATGTTCTGTATACAATAAATGATTTTTTTTTTTTTGGTCGTCAAATTTTTGTCCCCCAGAGAGGGTACGTACGATCATGTCATTCAAAGTACATTTATTCGTACCATAATTATAATTGTAGGATATGTGTTCATTTAATTCATGGTCAAAATCGCCAATATCTGAAGGGATGGTGTAAATCCAGCTCGAGTCCATGCAGGTAGCAAAGGTACTGTAAGTCCCCATGGTCTCTAGTATAGTGATCTACCTTCAGTTGTGGGTGACCTGTAGCCCATTTTTATATTGTATTGTTGAAGATAGAAATAGTGTTTTATGGTTAAATGCTAGTTTTAAGTATAAATCTGCAAAGGACTAGTTATTTTACTGTCCTTTGCAGACATGTAAGTATATAAGTAGGTTTCAATTCTTTTATACATTTACGAATTTACAACTTTCATAGTCACGGTATGGCAGAAATACTGTCCATGTGACTCACTCACACTAGTTCTTGTTGTTTTACGCCGCCCTCAGCAATATCCCTGCGATATGACGAAGGTATTACCATAATTGAGTCTGGACCAGACAATCCAGTGATCAACGGCATGAGCATCGATCTACCCAGTTACGATGACATGTGTCAACCAAGTCAGCGACCCTGATCACTCTATCGCCTGTTACGACAAGCATGTTTGCTGAAGGCCAATTCTAACCCGGATCTTCACGGGGTCAATAGTACACGTATTTGTGTCCCCTTCTTCTGCGCTTTCCATAATGGTTGTTATTATTTCAACTACAAATAAACATTACACGAAATGACAAACAATTTATGTTCAAATAAGTTTACCTTATTTATACCCTATCGAATTCTGCTTTTAGTGGATGAGTATCGAATATCTTTATACTGAATATAAGTGTCCTGTTTTGATCATGGCTTTATTTCACTCGGCCGCCAATACATATTCTTGTAAATAATGCATTCATATAACTTAAGCTATTTTAAGCATTGATCTTGTGTTTTCTAAAGACACCCAGAAACCAAATAATTAAAAGGAGGTTCCTGAGGAGAGATTTACTTTCCATAAAGCCATTCGTTTTGAAAGATGTGTACTGCAACAAATCAATTTCTGTTTCAGAATGTGACCTGCCTGCACAAGAGCAAGATAACATCAAATAAACGTACCTATTGACATTTGTACCCAAGCTGGTACTATTGTGATAAAACTTAATACATACAAATTCCACATTTCAAAGAGGGACTTCGACCATGCGTTTGGCTTGGAACATCATATTCGCCTGTTTCATTTGTGTTCAGATCTGTGTGTCACTTGTCATTTTGATGGCTCTTGGATTCCGTCCAAGACAGAATACGATCATCTTTGATGAACTGCAGCATTTTAGTAGAGACTGGGATAAAGAACTAAATGCTAAACACACGAAAATGCCAAACGAACGTGATTGTATGCTCACACGACATATTAACGATGCTTATATTGGCGTTGTTCGTGAGAACGCGCTGCTGTGTCGCGGAGTTTCACAGGTGGACGTTGTATTTATTGTCCACAGCTCTCCTGAGCATTATGATCGTCGGGAAATACTTCGGGGTATTTTTAAGAAGGAAAATGCATTCCAAAATTATACCGTGCGACTTGTTTTTCTAATTGGACAAAGGAACAACGTGAAAATTGAAGAAATAGTCAACCAAGAATTCATCCAGCACGGGGACATTGTCCAAGGTCGGTTTCTGGACAGCTACAAAAACCTTACGTATAAAGCTGTCATGGGTGTGAAATGGATCAGCCATAACTGCAGGAACGTCAAATACGTCATCAAAATGGATGACGACGTTTACGTTTCTTTTCGAATGTTTTTCACACACATTTATCGGCAATATCTTCATGATACGAGGGTTTTATGTTGGTCGTGGAAGAGTTCAACAGTTCTTGTCAACAGAAAGGGGAAGTGGTCAGTGGATAAGGACGATTTAAGGCATTATAATCTGTTTCCTTTGGATTATTGCAGTGGATTTGCTGTCATTATACCAGGCGCGATAATTCCAGCTCTGTATAAAGCAACTAGACTCGTTCCCTTCTTATGGATCGATGACTACTTCCTGACTGGCATGACGCGTGCTTTAGTAACAAAACTGCATGATCTAGGTCCATATCATCACTATGTCATTTTTCCGCAAGACCGGATGACTTGCATGAAAAATCCGAAACTTTGCAAAACAGTCTTTTCGCCAAATACTAAGATCAGAAGACTACCAGTAGTAAAGACATAATATCCACCACGGGGTGTAGAGTTATTATTTTTGCGAGGGAGAGAGAAGAGAGGGGGGAGAGAGAGAGGGGGGGGGCAGAGAACATATCAGTCCTGTCTCCAATGTGACTGCGACCTGCCCTGAAAATAAACGAGTCACAACCAAAAACTCCAGTGATTGTCATGGTGTAAACCACTACAAACTGTGATTCTTAGCCCAAGAATCTGTGTTTCAAACCGGTAGGATGTAACAGCTGTTGGCATTGATTAGAAATTGATTCAGAAATGACGTCAACGTAACAGGGAATCTATAGGAGATTGTGTGTTCGTTTGTAAACCAGAGGTTGTGTGAGTACGTTATAGTGAGGGAGAATGCTTTAACGATGGTATGGGCTTACTGTCTGGCTCGTTACAACGCTTTATCAACCGCGAGAATTCGAACAGATACTTTTCATTGTCGTATGTGTGCAGCCGGCATTAACAATAACAAGGCAGCTGATGTCATTCAAAAGCATGTGGATATACTGCATGGCATGCTATATTTTCTGTCAATGCACTGAATCTTTCTTGGGGATCGATATCACTGCAGTTTCAAGAACACATTGCGGAACTACAGTCAATATGTTACATGCTCGACACAGCGGTATAGACCAATTGCCATGTGTTACAGTAAGGTACCACCGAAGGCAGTGATAAATACAATTTCACTCGTATATCATTCTAAGGTCAGTGACAGATGTATGCATACAAGTAATTATAAATACAATCATATTCAAAACATGAACCCGCGAAGGTACGGGTTAGAATATTGATCTTCAGTAACACATGCTTGTCGTAAGAGGCGACTAACGGGATCAGGTGGTCAGGCTTTCTGACTTGGTTGCCACATGTCATCGGTTCCCAATTGCGCAGATCGATGCTCATGCTGTTGATCACTGGATTGTCTGATCCAGACTCGATTATTTACAGATCGCCGCCATATAGCTGGATTATTGCTGAGTGCGGCGTAAAACTAAACTCACTCACTCAAAACATGTCATATATACATCTTTTTAACTCACACCACACACACACACACACACATACACACACACATGGTTAAAATGTTGCCTCGTCACGCTGAAGACACGAGTTCGATTCCCCACATGGGTACAATGCGTGAAGCCCATTTCTGGTATCCCCCACGGTGATATTGTTGGTATATTGCTAAAAACATACTCACTCACTCACTCTTTTTATACTTGCAAGTGTCCATTGCATTCACCAATCCAACCCAGTGCAATCCAATGTCTGGATCTTGAGGCTCAGTAAACCATTCAACTGGGCTGTTTTCTTAAACACTTATGTAATTTCAATGTGATCTGTAGTATGATTGTACCATATATACACGTTTTTTCGTTTGTTTGGGTTTTAATTCGTATAATTAACAACTGTATGTATATCTATTTATGGAATACTGTAAGGGACATTCTCGCGATCTCGCATTCTCGCGATCTCGACCTTTGGAAACAAGCTAAAAATGCTAAAAGTGCGAGAATGCGAGATCGCGAGAACGCGAGATTTGGCCAAAATCTCGCGTTCTCACGATCTCGCATTCTCGTGTTTTGGTACATAGCACTTTTGTCAAAAGTCGAGATCGCGAGAATGCGACATTTGTACATGCTGTCAAATCTCGCATTCTCGCAATCTCGACTTATCAAATATGGCCACAAAAACACGAAATCGCGAGAACGCGAGAATGCGAGATTTCATTTTCTCGCGATCTCGCGATCTCGCGTTTTAGACGCTGTTGTTGCGCATGCGTAATATCATAAGGTCAAGGCGTCGCAATGGAGTTGCGTCCCTTGAGAAACCTATGTTGGTGGGTTTCATCCTATATCGAGCTGACAAGCCGTGATATAACTGAAAGAAAAATACTGTTGAAAGTCGTGTTAAGCCAAACTCACTCACTTATTCAGAGCAATGCACTTACCCCGGGCTGTGAATGAGGGGTTATTTCTAATCTTAGCATGCCGAGCTTGTGAAGGTAAGGCCGCAATAAATTTAAATACAGAGTTTGATTATTTTGTAAAAAAAAATGGGAGGCGAGAAGAATAATAATTTACATTTTTTTTTTACTTTTTAAGGCACCTGTGTACAATTTCTGTTGAAGGATTCGATTCACATGCATCAAGCATGTTCAGTAGTGCTACGTTTGTGGAGTATTTCATCAAGTAAAGAAATTAGGAATGTAACAGGAATGAATTATTATTATTAACATCATAAGATATTTTATATTTATATATCGCACATATCCACGCAACTCCTCCTTGTTCAAGGCGCTGGTATATTTTTTCCTCGTTTATTTGGATGTCAATCTCAACGGCACATAGTATGATCAATCTCAACTCCCTTGGGAGTATACAACGCTTGCTGCCTCTAGGCGCACCGAGTTTATTGTGACTTTCCCATCCTAACGAGATACCCATTCACAGCTGGGTGGACTGGAACACATAGTCACAGTACTTTGTCCAATTTGACTGCACGTTGATGTACCCGCAACTAAGTGTTTGCACGTATTCATGTGACCACCATCTGGTCATATACCAACTGATTCGTGGGTTCTTTTAAGTGCACAGGGTTGTCTACTGTGCACTTCGGGTTGTGACAACACAGAAAGAGTCTGCACAGAAAGTTGAGTGCAAGGTTTTTACACCCGGTCACAGATGGGCTCGATCCCGACACCTCAACCTCGCTGGATCACTAGCCGGCGCTTTAACCAGCTCGCCCACCGCGCGAGTGGTTGTATATTGTGTACATAAATGAATAACAAATCATCATTATCTTATATCAGGATATTATGTATTTAAGTTGCAATTAGTTGTCAGTTCATCTGCCTCTTTACTTTGTGTTTCAGTGAGTGAGTTTAGATTTACGCCGCACTCAGCAATAGTCCAGCTATATGGCGGCGACCTGTAAATAATCGAGTCTGGACCAGACAATCCAGTGATCTGCGCGATTGGGAACCGATGACATGTGTCAACCAGGTCAGCGAGCCTGATCACCCGATCCCGTTAGTCGCCTCTTACGACAAGCATGGGTTACTGAAGATATATTCTAACCCAGATCTTCACGGGTCTCTTTGTGTTTCATGTACAGTTCTGTGTCACAGTTTGGTCAGAATCAAAGGTTAGTTGTTATACATTTTAATTGTTACATATAGTGAATTAAACCCTAACATTAATCATTACACAAAATAGGTATAAATATGCCCATGATAAACAAAATAAAAGTCAATACACAGTATACCATTTAACTTGTATGAATGTGCTTATGGTTTGTTTTCTATATGTCCAGTCAATATGCTGGCTGGTAGTTGTTGTTTGGTAACTATATTCTGTATCATGTAAGATTGATATATCTCATCTATCATGTATATTGTATGTACTTGACAAAGATTACATTTGATCAGTGTGTGGTACCTATATAGGGTTATTGCATGCGATGACTGTTCGGCTGCTGGATGTGCAGACCCATTCTCGTGTCACCCACAGGATAGGTTATTTGTACAGTATCTATTGTCTATTTCATTATTATACCATGCATTATTATAAGCCTTTATGTCAACACTCATTTTGTATATCACTGTAAACATGTGATCACGTAAGTCATTTGTGTGATATTGCATCGCGTAATACCGGTATATGACTCTTGATAGGCACATTTATGCACTATATTTATTATGATGACATGTTCATCAGATGTGATTTTATGTTGTATATATTGTGTATATTATTGTTATTACAGGGTGTCTTCTTCCACCACGATATGGAAATAAACAGATATCTCACTCATAACCCGTAGTCTCCACTTTATCATGGCTGCCACAGGAACACAAATATTATTGGTACAAATGCATTTCTATTTCTTGGAACTTGGAGACGAAAGAATAATGTAAGACAGGGTGTTTTGTAGTCAGGCGGGAGCGGAAGAAAATCTATTAATTAATATGTTATGGCCTAAACTTGCGAATATGGTGTCGAGTAAAACATCAGACATGCTCATTTTAGCCGACTGCTAGAAATTGGTCGGTTAGAATTTTGTTTGAATGAATATGCTAGCCGAATATGCTAGCCGCTAGCCGTGATGTCGCATCATGGAGAAACTCACTGACGTTAATATATTTTCCAGCGTCCGGACACTTTCATGTTTTCACTTTTATTGGACATTCATATTCACAATTTCGTTTGTTAAATTATATGTAACACGTTGAGGATTTTTAAGTACATAAGAAATCGGAACAACGGCAGCGGACTTATATACACTACCCTTCACATCGCGTATGTAAATTACATAGCATTTTCAAGCTATGTCATAATTTTGCTTAATGCTACTTGGGAAATCAAAAGCACGAAAGAAGCATGACCACAGCACTACTAAGATGCGCATGCGCCTTGACCTTATGATATTACGCATGCGCAACAACAGCGTCTAAAACGCGAGATCGCGAGATCGCGAGAACGCGAGAAAATGAAATGTCGCATTCTCGCGTTCTCGCGATTTCGTGTTTTTGTGGCCTTATTTGACAAGTCGAGATTGCGAGATTGCGAGATTTGACAGCATGTACAAATGTCGCATTCTCGCGATCTCGACTTTTGACAAAATGTGCTATGTATCAAAACACGAGAATGCGAGATCGCGAGAACGCGAGATTTTGGCCAAATCTCGCGTTCTCGCGATCTCGCATTCTCGCACTTTTAGCATTTTTAGCTTGTTTCCAAAGGTCGAGATCGCGAGAATGCGAGATCGCGAGAATGTCCCTTACAGTATTCCATACCTGGTCGGGGAAGCCTTAACCCGCAACAGACAATTTCTCCTTCATACAAACAGAATCGCACAAACAGTATTATATGGTTTATTTGTCGGATAAGTGTACATTTGGGAAGCAGCTTTTATTTCATGCCATTTCGTGACGTCATTAAATACGTCTATCCACAGAACTCAATGGCCGACAATGTTCCTTTGCCCACTGAACGTGTCCTGTATTTGAAACG